GGCAACCGTTAAATCTGATACTCATGTGTCTAGGTATAGGATTTCTGAGTCAGCATCATCATTTGCATTCCATTTGCATGAACTTCATAAAGCAATTGCACAATAAATTTAAAGGAGCAATAATCAATACAAACTACATGCAGACTTGAAATGACGTTTTAAAACTTTTGAGGTTGGTGACTCCGTGATGGTGCGGATTCGTCCGGAACGGTTCCTACAGGGAACGGTTAAGAAGCTGCATGCCAAGAGTGTTGGACCTTTCAAAATACTAAGGAAAATTAAAGATAATGCCTATGTAGTAGATTTGCCTGCAGATTTCAACATCAATTCCTCTTTTAACATATAAGATTTAGTTGCATATGAAGGTCCTAAGTTTAACCCTCCAAATCCACTCATACAGCATCCTTGTGTGACCCCATCATGTGAGATCCCAAACCTATCTCTACTACCAAATATTCCTAAATCTCCCATAGCAGAAAAGGTGGACACGATCCTAAGTGTTGATATCATATCCACAAGAGAAGGTGGATGAAGGAGATACTTGATCAGGTGAAAAGGAAATCCCGAGTCAGGGGATACTTGGTTAGACCGCGAGGAGTTACAGCAGATTGACCCAGATGCTTTAGAGATCTACGAGAGCACCAGAGACACTTACTCGACAGAGTTGAGCTTTCTCCCACCCCGAGAGAATGATGTGGACATCAGATCATGGAAGGTTTATCAGAGGCGTGGCCGCCGATCTACGGCCACAATCGAGTCATTGTATTTTTGATTTATTTATGTTGTCGTTGTATTTTCTTGTTTATGTATTTTCTTATTTCCAGTTGTCGTTGTATTTGTTTTATGTGATTTTCAGTTGTACCCTTTTCGTAAGGGATATCATATGTAAGCCCCGAGGGCATTGTCGTCTTTCTATTTCTTGAGTCTCATGGACAAGGCTATTTATAGACAAGGCTATTTATAGCCCCTTGTTTTGTTTTTCGAGGGTAATGAATGAATGATAATTTTTCTTCCCTTGCTTGAGTTCTTGTGAGATCTTGAGAGTGTTTGAGTGGTGAATCCCTAGGAGAGGGAACTCGGATCACCCACCAACCTTGGAGACGGCCGGGTTCGTGGTTCTACCTTCGTTCTCCTTCTTGTTCTCCACCTAACACCACCTTCCCCAAGCCGCCGGCCTTAAGGAGTTCCCAAACCCCTTTGTCGCCGGTCACCTAATCCCCCACACCTCCTCTCTCACCCGATCACCACATTCCCCAGATCCCCCCTCAATCTCCACCTAGCCACCCGCCTCAACTTACTTGCCCTCCTTCCAAAATTCAAACCTTTCTTTGAATACTTTCCATTAAAAAAAAACACTCTTTATTTTGGAAAATCCAATTTCGAATTCAAACAATTTGAAATTGAAATTTTCTTTCCTAATTTAAGGAAACTTATTTTAGGAAAGTTTCTAAATATAAATCCGTTTGAATTTCAAATTCATAAGGAATTTATTAAAACCTTTCCTAATTCCTAAACTAAAATTAGGAAACCTTTAATCCCTCCCCTTTATTCCCTCCTAAACCTTTAATGCTACCACCCCCTTAGGATTTGGTTTTGAAATCCTTTCCTAACCCAATTCTCCACTTTAGAATATTTCCAAATTCCCACCCCCCACACTTAGCCGAATTTTCCAAGCCTTCTCCTACTTGATTTCTTTCCTAAGTGAACTTCTCTTTGTGGTAAGAAATAAAGCTCCTTCCCCTTCTCAATCCTGCCGCCCCTCCTTCCCCTTTCTCTTCCTCAATTAGTTTCAATCACAAGATATTGATTGAGAATTTGTTTCTAAGTTATTTTCCCTCCACCTACTCATTCAAATTCTGAAATAAAAACTCTCACACCTTGCTCTTCTCCCTTGCCCCCCCCCCCTCCTCACCCGAACCCTACCTCAAGTTGTATAAAAACTTCTTTCTCTTCAACAACACTCAAGAATACTAGTCACCTTTGGAAGAAACCTACATCTAGCATCCATGCATGCATGGCCGATCCCGACACCACACTGATTACGTACGTGATGGGGACATCAGATCATGGAAGGTTTATTAGAGGCGTGGCCGCCAATCTATGGCCACGATCGAGTCATTGTATTTTTAATTTATTTATGTTGTCGTATTTTCTTGTTTATGTATTTCCTTATTTCCAATTGTCGTTGTATTTGTTTTATGTGATTTTCAATTGTACCCTTTTAGTAAGGGATGTCGTATGTAAGCACCGACGGCATTGTCGTCTTTCTATTTCTTGAGTCTCATGTACAAGGCTATTTATAGCCCCCTTGTTTTGTTTTTCGAGGGTAATGAATGAATGATAATTTTTCTTCTCTTGCTTGTGTTCTTGTGAGATCTTGAGAGTGTTTGAGTGGTGAATCCCTAGGAGAGGGAACTCGGATCACCCACTAACCTTGGAGACGGCCGGGTTCGTGGTTCTATCTTCATTCTCCTTCTTGTTCTTCTTCCTTTAGTGATCAAACCGCTGACCACCTAACCCCACCTTCACCAAGCCGTCAGCCTAAGGAGTTCCCAAACCCCTTTGCCGCCGACCACCCAATCCCCCACACCTCCTCTCTCACCTGATCACCACATTTCCCAAATCCCCCCTCAATCTCCACCTAGCCGCCAGCCCCAACTTCCTTCCCCTCCCTCCAAAATTCAGACCTTTCTTTCAATGCTTTCCATAAATAATCACTCTTGATTTGGGAAGATCCAATTTCAAAATTCAAACAATATGAATTTGAAATTTTCTTTCCTAATTTAAGGGAACTTATTTTAGTTAAGTTTCTAAATATAAATCCATTTGAATTTTAAATTCATGAGGAATTAATTAAAACATTTTCTAATTCCTAAACCGAAATTAGGAAACCTTTAATCCCGCCCCTTTATTCCCTTCTAAACCTTTAATGACGTCGGCCCCCTTAGGATTTGGTTTTGGAATCCTTTCCTAACCCAATTTTCCACTTTAGAATATTTCCAAATTCCCACCCCGCACACTTGGCCGAAATTTCCAAGCCTCTCCTACTTGATTTCTTTCGCTAAGTGAACTTCTCTTTGTGGTAAGAAATAAAGCTCCTTCCCCTTCTCAATCCTGCCGCCCCTCCTTCCCCTTTCTCTTCCTCAATTAATTTCAATCACAAGATATTTATTGAGGATTCGTTTCTAAGTTATTTTCCCTCCACCTACTCATTCAAATTCTGAAATAAAAACTCTCACACCTTGTTATTCTCCCTTGGATGCCCCCCCCTTCACCCGAACCCTACCTCAAGTTTAAGAGAAACTTCTTTCTCTTCAACAACGCTCAAGAATACTAGTCACCTTTGGAAGAAACCTACATCTAGCATCCATGCATGCATGGCCGATCCCGACACTGATTACGAACTTGCCTACGACGAGCACGGTTTCGTAAGCATTCTCTACTCCACCTTCTTTGATGTCAACCCTAGGATCGATCATACGGTGGAAAATTACATCGAACGCATCTTGGATACTTTGGTTGAGGTTATTGAAGAGCAGTTAGAGGCCGTCGAGTGGAGGATTGCCGTCGATCCTCGACGGAGGTTTCCTACTCTTCCTCTTGTATTTCTTAAGCCTAACCTTTCTTGTGATTTGATTGTAGTTACGAAGGACGCATCCGCCAATTCTGCTAAGCTTAGTAAATGTAGGATTTTGAGCGTACTTATGTGATTACTTTTCTTATTGTTAGCTATGGATTTTGTTGAAGCTACTATTCTGGCATGATGTTATTTTCTAATTTATCTTGAAATGTCAAATATCTGGTTATGTGACTTAGCCTAAGAGGGTGTGACCCCTCTTACGTTTTTTTCCGTTGTTTTTAAATGCTGGTAGCTCTCTTCATTATTTTCTAATCAAAGTTGTGCAAAATCTTCCAAATCACTGCATCCATACGTAGTTCTACATTAGTACGCTTAAGTTTTCTCCATTAAAACTAACTACAATTTGGAAGGTAGGTTGCAAAAGAAGACTTGCACTTGGAGTAGTTGAATGTGAAGACAATATTTTATCATGGTGCCTTGAAGGAAGAATTTATATAATGTAGCTAGACGGATTCGTAGTATATAAGAATGAGATAACGGTATGAAAATCTTTCATGTTTTAAAAAAGGCTCCGAGCATGGTCGAAATAGTTTGACAATTTCTAGAGGTGTTTGGCAGATCACTATTGTTAGGTTAAGGCCTCTGGTAATTTATATATTATTTTACTATTGTATGTTAATGATATGATGATAGAAGGGTGTAGAAAACATGATTTTGACAAGTTAAAAAGGCATTCTCAACTAGTTTGTTTTGAAGGATTTAGATGTTTCTAAATAAATCCTTGGTATGAAATTACAAGAAATAATGATATTTGAAAAACGTGACATGAAGAATGTGTGAAAAAGTTGCTGTGTATGTTCAACATGCAAACTGCAAAAAACTAAAAGTATTCCTTTGGGTAGTCATTTTAAGCTATCAAAGGAACAAACACCTTCAACGGAGAAGGAACAAATCCAAATGGAAAGCTTTAGCTATTTATTCTTCTATCTGGTACTAGACCTAACATTGCCTAAATATTCACAGTTGCATAGAATATTGGGAGATAGTGAAGTGGATTCTACGATATCTAAGAGGTATTATAGATTAAGCTATATGTTTCAAGAAGTTTGACTTGGGACTGCGTTGTTATGTTGATGTATTGGATATATTTACACCGTAGAGTACATGAATGAGTTTATCCAGCAAAGAGATGTTTTAGTTGCAATCATTTATTGAAGAATTGGGTCAAAATATGGAAAGATTGTGTTGTTTGAAATGCTGGGAACCAAGAGGTACCTTTTTTGGAAGATTGCGTTGTTATGTTGATGATTTTTTAACTGTACCATTTGCTTGAATTAATCAATAGTATTGTGGCACAATGAATAGTTTTTAATGGATTTTTCAGTTCCTCTGGAAAATTTTGACTCAAATTGTAATCCAGCGCAGGTGCACATTCCTTGTTGAGAGACTGCAAGCCAAAAACTCTTTCGAACAAATACATATGTTCAGGTTCACTTGTTTCAGATGCTGGCTTTGCTGTAACAACCTATGGAATGTCTAGTAAAATGGATTGGCATGCTTCTTCTGTCACAATAAATTCACAAGGTGGTCAGGATTACATATTGGTAAATACCACTAACTTAGCATTGAAAGCTCCTTTTCTAACCTGCAATTATGTCAATTTTTTAGGCTTCACTCTTTACTATAGCACTCTATTTGAGTTTGTTTGAAACTCAATGCGATAAAGCTGACTTTGAAAATGCTTTACTGAGCTTTTTTTTGCAGTCCTATAATCTCTTGCCCATGTTTTCTTTCCCATGTTTTCTTTCTTTCTTTTTTTTTTTTTTTTGTTTTTTTTTTTTTTTTTTTTTTTTTTTTTGAAAAAAATAATTATAATCCTCGTAACACTCAATTGCATTGAAAGCTCCTTTTATAACCTGCCATTATGTCAATTTTGTAGGTTTCACTCTTTGCTATAGCACTTTATTTGAGTTTGTTTGAAACTCAATGCGATAAGACTGGCTTTGAAAATGCATTACTGAGCATTATTCTTGCAGTCCTATAATCTCTTGCCCATCTTTTCTTTGCCATGTCTTTTTTTATGAGAAAAAAAAAGTATAATCCTCGTAACACACAGTTCTTCAATCTGTGAAGGTATAGTTTGATTGCTTAATTACTGTGAGAGCACATGCATGTTGATTAATGAATAGGTACATGGATGCACAAAAATGTAAAACGGTTATCCTTTAATTAAGAAATGATAGCATCTTTATTAAAAAGTATATATGTTATATACATATATAACATATTTTGGAAGAAAAAAACAGAAATGATAATTTTTTGTTGAGGGGAAAAAAAAAAAAACAGAAATGATAAGTTCTTGATTGCTCATAGTTTGGGCAATCTCTGAGTATTTATAGGCATTGATTATGGAAAGAGCGAGACTAAATATGTAAAAGTGACAGGCAGTTTAAAAAATACGCTTGTTTTTATTGTTAACTTGAAGTTGTCATCTGTTTTTCTTTTTTAGAATGAACTTGTAAAGTTGTTGTGTACTATAATGAACTCTTCATTGTTTTTCTGTCTTAGTTTTTTTTCTTTTTTTTTTCTTTGAGAAGAAATGCAATATAGCATTAAATAAAAAGACCTAGATACAAACTACTTAAACAAAAGACAACCTATCACATTCCTCCTTCAACAAAACAACAAAAGAAGGGGGAGTATTATTCTCACTAAAAACGTCCCAAATAAAGTTATACTCACAAGCTAAGTTAGCGCAATAATCTGCTAACTTAATACAATGACGACTAACAAAATGAAATAAAACATTATTGAAATTCTTCAAGAATAATGTCTTCATCTATCTGTCCTCCCATCATCTTCTCCGGTATACTATACAATTTGCGGAGAAAGTTGATGACATTTCGATTGTCCCCTTCAATCACAATTCCATCTGCCTCGAGCATCCACTCTTGTATAACATTTTTCAATGATTTGAAAACCAATAGCTCCAACTGTGTACTATCCCAATGAACATAACCAAAACCAAAGGCCAACAAAAATCTCCCTTTACTATCTCTAACCACTCCACCAACACCAGCTCTATTCGATTTACAAAGGGAGCTGTCAATATTTATTTTAAACCACTTGGGGGGAGGACGGTGCCAACAATTAAAACATAGTCCAGAAGGCTGATTAACACCCCAGTGACCCAAGATGATTTTGTCTTTGTGTAAAACACCACAAAACTGATGACTCTAGCCACAATAACAGCAGCACTATCTTCCACACCACCATGTTTCACTTTGTTTCTACTATTCCAAGGAAAATAGCAACAAAGTTAAGTACAACCTAGCAATGAATGGATTCCTTACCGAAATCATTTCCAAGTTCTTCATACAATCCGTGAAGGAACAATTAACCGGCACCATAAATCCCCATGCATTCAACAAACTTATTACCTGAATAAGTTTCGGGCAGGTAGCTGTACAATGATCAATGTTTTCCACCTCATGGCAGCCCCTAGAACAAAGATTAGAATCAGTAAGCCTTCTGTGTAAGAGCAAGTCTGCAGTGGGAATTGCATTCCTGCATAAATGCCATAGAAATAATTCTACCCGATGATTGTGTTTAAGCTTATACACTCATAAACCATAGACATCTTCCATATTGTCATTAAACCGCAATTTTGAAACCATTATTGAAATGGATTTGCCATACAGTTTAAATTAACTCCATCCTATCTTCATCCATGTTATGAAATATGGCAACTTTACCAATCAAATTTACAAGGTCTTCTCCAAAGAACTTACTTAGTAGAGGGAAATTCCAAGCACCATTATCAATGAGAGAATTCTGAGTTACATTTTCCTCCTCCCAATTAGCTACAAACGTAGGTCATTTCTCTATACTTTTATCAAGAATCCACACATCCTTTCGGATATCAATCAAAGAACCTAAAGTAATTTTCCACCTGATGATCCCTTTAAGAGAATTCCAACCATCCATAATAATCTTCCATGCAGCCAAACAACTTTTCTTCCCCTCACCTTTCCACCAGTTTTTTCTCATATTTAACCACTAGGTTCCGGTTAAGCATAGAGTCCGGATTTTCTAAAAGGCTCCAAGCAAACCTTGCCCTTAAAGGTCCGAATTTATATACTGCAGAATAGAGACCCACTCCACCAAGTCTCTTTGGTTTGTACAAGACATCCCAAGCCACAAAATGAAGTTTGTGAGAGCCATCATGTTTATCCCAAATATAATTCCTGCAAATCTTGTCTAACTCTTTTAAAATACTCAACGGAACCAATGAGTGTGAAGAGAGAAATAAAGGAAGAGAAAGAAAAACTGTTTTCTCCAAGATCATCCTTCCTGCAAGAGAGATGAATATATTCCCCCAAGCATTGATTCTTTTGGAGGCTTTATCCAATAGATGTTGAAAATCAGACTTCTTCAATATTCTTAAAGAAACCTTGATACCCAAATATTCCATTTCATCAACCACCTTAATGTTCAACAACTTAGAGATTTGTTTCTTCTTTCTTCTACCAATATTTTTACCCATCAACATTGAAGACTTTTGAAGATTTACCACTTGTCCAGTCCACATGCAATAATTTAGAAGCAACTTCTTCATCGTTTTGATATTTCTCAACTTTGTATCTGAAGAAAATAAAATATCATCCGCATACAAAAGATGAGAAATTTTATGTGCATTTGAAGATATACTGATACCAAGATCCTTGCCTATGCTTAAAAATGAATTAGAATGTAATTGAGAACACAAAATAAATAGTAAGGGAGAAAAGTGGGCATCCCTGCCGAAATCCACACCTTCCCTTAATCCAATTCGAGTTGCTCCCATTAATCATAATAGAGAACCTTGGTTCCATTACACATTCCATCATCAAATTTGCAAATTTAGAAGGAAAACCCAAGATATTCAACATCTATCTTAAAGTTGCCCAACACAAACTGTCATATGTCCATTCCATATCAATTTTGATTGCTAAGAGACCATTCCTTGCTTTAGAACATCTGATTTTATTGCAAACTTCTTGTGCTAAGAGGAGATGATCCGAGATTGATCTTCCTTTCACAAAAGCCACCTGCTCTTCCGAAATTATTGCGTGCACGACCAAAAGCAGCCTATTCAATAGGACTTTAGCTACAATCTTATAAATAGAGTTGCAAAGGCTAATAGGGCGATATACAGCCGGTGAAACAGGATCTTTGACCTTAGGAATCAAGACAATCAAAGTCTCCTTCCATTCATTACATAGCAAACCCGAAGAGAGAAATCTGTTGACAGCCTTACATACATCATCACCAATAATATCCCAATAAGCTTTGAAAAAGGAATAAGTTATTCCATCACATCCCAGAGCTTTATTTCCTCCCAAATTCCTGATAACATTTAGAATTTTCGAAGTAGAAATTTCAGCATTTAGCTTGTTTCTATCATCAACATTCAATACTTTCCAAGGAGAAGGCCAATTATTCAAACAACATTCCCTATCCCTCCATTTCTAATTGAAATATTTAAAAAAAAAAAACCCCTTCCACCTCTTTCGGTTTTTCAACCATTCTGCCATCCGCCCCCTTAACTTGGTTAATCCAATTATCATTCCTTCTAGCATTTGCAAAAGCATGAAAATATTTGGAGTTTGAATCCCCTTGCTCAATCCATCTTACCTTTGCCCTTTGCTTCTACCAAGTATTCAACCTTGCAAGGTAGGCATTAAGTTCACCCACCTTAGCTCTCAAGAGCCTCAATTTTTCTTCACACAGCCCGCCTTCCTTAGCCTCCTCTTCTTGGAGTTGCACCGCTTCCTTTTTAAGACCATCTTTAAGTAATAAAAAGTTCTTCAATTTTGCCTTACTCCAAAAAAACAATTCTTTCAACGTTCTCTTACATTTCCTATTTAAAATCTGCATATCATGACCATCGTAGGATTTTTTCAATACTGTCAAAATAATACAAGAAGAGGCATGAAAAGAAACCCAAATATCTTCAAACTTCAGAATAATTTTCTTCTTAAAAGCTGAATAAAAAATCTTTAAAACAACTCTAGCAATGTGCCTCACAACCGCCACTTGGATATTATCCAAAGCAATGGAACTAAGAAAGCATCTATCCAACCTTTCCAATATCCTTCCCCCCATCACTTTTATTATTACACCAAGTGAACCTTGGTCCAACCACTCCAATTTCATGAAAATCATTATAGTTCATAAAGCTCATCATTTCCTTAGGACCTTGAGAAAAAACAAATTTCCTACCACCTCTGTTGTTCTCTTAAGACAAAATACAATTAAAGTCACCACCGATCACAGAAGGAACCTTCCTATGAGATACCTCTTGAAGACAATCCCACAAGTCCCTTTTCTTATGAACCTCCTTACTACCATAAATAGTAGAGGTCATCCACACTCCCTTGTTAAATATGTTCAGGTCTCTAATTACACATTGATCGGAAGTCTTCACTATAGAAAAAGAAGCAAAATTAGTTCTCCACACCACCATAATACCCTCTGACAATCCTTCAGATGGAAATAAAAAGTAATCCCAATGAGCTCCTATCATTTTTTGACAGGCCATTCTATCCAAGGAAGAGATTTT